AATTGATTCGCCTGAAGGGCTCTTCATCTTTGTTTAATTTGTAATTCTAATTTACCTGTTTACGTTTTTCAACTAGTTTTCGGGGGATGTTGGGGGTGTGTATTGCTTGAATTTTAAAATAATTTGATGACATACCTAAGTACTAACAACTTACCCTAATTAGTGAAATTGCGTCTCTGAACCTTTCGAGGATGTGCGTACTCCGCTCCTCCAGTGTTTGAAGACCAGCCAGGTAGTGGATCTCCGAATTTCAAGTCCGCGGTGGACTCTTGAAGATCATTCTAAGGATCTTGTTTTGGATCCTTTGGAGTTTGAGGTGATGGCACTTAGCACAGCTCTTCCATATTGGCGTTCCGTACTCAATGGCAGTGTGCCTGTGGACGACAAGCTTGTTTTTAATGGAAAGGGTGAACTTTCTGTTGATAAGTGGATGATTTTTCCACATTGAAACGGAACAGCAACTTGCTATCAAGGGTGAGACCAAGTGTTGAGACAATTTCGGATTCCCTTTGTAGCACTTAAGGTTAGGTTCCCATTCTAATCTCTGCCTTTTTTGTGATTAACAAAGTATGGTTTTGGAGAAATTACTGTAGAAAATGGTAATGACAGCTACCCATCAATGGTTGTCAAAAGACCTGTCAAGAAGTGATATTATTCCGATGCGCAGGGTTGGGTGAAGCCGGATGATAGTGGCGTAGTTCACCCTCAACATCCCCCGACCCGTATTGCTGGCCCAGCGCTTCCGGGGATCAGCGTTACTCCTCAGCTCCGTTGGTGACTGGTATCTGAATATCTAGAACGGTGACCTTCGTCACCGGTCGGCGTAGGATTCCTCCTGATGTCTTAACCTGGACTTGCCTGGCCCGTCCATCGCGTCCCTTCACTACAGAAAGGATCCGTCCTCGCAGCCACCCATTCCAGATAGATTCGTCCACGATAATGACTGTATCCTTCGGTTCCTTCGCTTCCTCGAACCACTTGGTACGCTTGGAGATCGTCGGGAGGTATTCCCGTACCCAGTGACGCCAAAACTGGTTAACCAGGGTCTTCGTTAACTTCCAGTTGGTTCTTAGGCATTCTGGATGTTCTAGGTTAGATTGTGGAGACTGGGTGACCTCCTTAGAGCTCAAAAGCAGAAAATGGTTTGAAGTCAAGGCTTCTTGGGCTTCTGACTCGAGCGGAACAAACGTCAAGGGACGTGAATTGACGATACCTTCCGTCTCGATCATCAGTGTGAGAAGCGTTTCGTCGTCTGGGTTCCTGCTTGTGTTTAGTGCGGCGAAGGCGATCTTGACCGATCTAACGAGTCACTCCCACGATCCTCCCATGTGCGGAGCGGATGGTGGGTTGAAGATCCACTTGGTGACCACGTTGGTGAAGATCGATGACAGCTGCTGGTTCATTTTCGCTATCTGCTGCTGCTGCAGCTCACGGTTAGCTCCGCGGAAGTAAGTACCATTATCGCTCCTTATATCCAAAGGGGATCCACGCCGAACTAGGAACCGACGAATAGCCATCTTGCATGCCTCCGAGGACAGGGAATGCACTACCTCCAGGTGGACTGCTCGAATTGTAAGGCACGTAAACAATGAGACCCATCGTTTGACTAAGGATCGTCCGACTTTGACCATGATAGGGTCGAAATAGTCAAGACCGTCGACAACAACAATTTGCTGCATTCCGCACGAGTGCACGTGGACAAGGCAAATAGAATCGTTGCCGGACTTCATTGGTGACTGTTTCACGGTTTGCATGAAGGTAGCGTCTGTGGTACCAGTCGACGATCAGGCTGGTTAGGCGGTGTCCTTTCGGAAATTTCGTGTGTCCATTCGGATGACTCCGTGTTTGTAGATTCGGCTGGTACGATCAAGCCTTGACCGGTGCCCTTCCTGCGTCTTCTTGAGTTGTACCATCTCTTCAGGAAACGCGAATTGTTGAGTCTGCCGCCAGATAGCATTCTCGGCCCTTACAAGTTCTTCGCTGCTGAAATGGGAAGTCAATAACTGTTGTTTTGTTCGCTTTCGATGACTGTTATCCACAAAGCGATAGATCTAAGCCAGAGTCTTTCGTACTTCGAAAATCGGCCCACATCGATAATCTCTTCTTGCATGTCGTTGATGTGAGTTCTGCATCTGCTTGTAGAGACCATTGTTCCTCCGAACTTCTTAGGAACTCCGGGTCTCTGAACCAGCGACCGTCGGGCTTCAAATTTGGTCTGTTTCACCACTTTGTACCGTCGTCTGCAACGTTGAGTCCCGAAGGTACGTATCCCCACTCTTCGGGATTTGATTTCGACAGAATCTCGCCTATCCTGCAGGCTACGAACTGTCTACAGCGGCGGTGGTCGGAATTGATCCGAGCGAGGACGGTCTTAGAATCTGACCAGAATACCTTTCGCCTAATCGGTAGACTGTGACTGCTGCATAATGTTTACTTGATCCTGCACCCTATAAGTGCCACCTGGAGCTCCAGTCCCTGGATGAAGAGCGTTTTCAATGGTGCAACCTTGGCTTTTGCAGATACGAGGGCACAGTGGTATTTCCCATTGATTACGGCTCGAAAGTAAGCGACGCACGCATACGCTGTTTCACTGCCGTCCACAAATATGTATAACTGTAGATGTTCCGGTGCGAGAGCCCCCAATTCTAATCGTACACCACATCCGCATCTACCTTGCACCCATCTGTCAGTGCAGAAGCGATTCGCACATGTTTTTTCCTTCCAAAAACATAACATGTAAAACCATCGAACTGTAAACAACAAAAACAGAGAAAATTAAAAAGTTGAATTAGCAAAGTGACATCGTCGGTTTTTTTCCTTGTCTCCGTGTTCCGGCGGAATTCGGTTTTGTACATTTGGTCCTTCGTCGTCGGATAACGTCGCGAATCGTGATGGATAAGTTGATCGGTCGTAGAAATGCTCATTTGGTGCAAATGAAGGGGGAGTCAGCTGCAGCCGAAACAATCCACGAGCGAAATGCATCGCATGGGGAAGTGGAAGATCGGCTCGAGCAGCTTAAGGAGCTCGCAATAAAATTCCGGCAGACGCAAAGAGAGATAGAGGAGAATCAAACGGACCCGGAAGTAATTACCTCGGTGCATAACTTTCGGGAGGAATTCAACACGTACTATTATCGAGCGAAGGATGCCCTTGAGCGGTACATTTCCCAGGGCAACAACGAAAGCGACGAGGAAGGTTCCGTCACCAGTTCAAATCGGGGCTCCACTGCAAGCTACCGATCGGTGGCTGGTTCTAGCAGAGATCTTCGGGAAGCGATGCAAATGCTGTTGGAAACTCAGCGAGCATTGATGGTGAACCAATCGATGGCAAGCAGCAGTAGAAATTTCGCGTATAATGGTCGTGGTGTGGATCCAGCTGGAGGAGAACAGGTGTCGAATCATGCACCCCTCCTAAATGTGCGACTTCCTCCGATCAGTGTACCAACTTTTGATGGTGAGCGAAAGAATTGGAGAGCCTTCAAAGATATTTTTGAGCAGATAATCCACGTACGCAACGATCTGCGCGATTCGTTGAAAATGCAGTACTTGGTGTCGTATCTGGCGGGTGATGCCAAACGTCTGGTAAGTTCATTCCCAATATCGGACGCTAATTACAAGGAAGCGTGGGCGGCTCTTTCAAGCTTCTACGACAAGAAAAAATATACGGTTTTTGCTCTTGTTCGTGAATTCGTTGACCAGCCTGTGGTCAACACCGCCACTACCGCAAGCCTACGCAAACTGGTCACAACTTCGGATGAGGTTGTTCGACAACTAAATGCTCTGGGAGAGGAGTACAATCAGCGAGATCCGTGGCTGATCCACCTGTTGTTGGAGAAGCTGGATAAGGATACCAGATCCTTGTGGGCTCAGAAGATAATCGACGTTGAGCATCCGTCCTTCGAGGAGTTCCTGAAATTTTTGGACAACCGGTGCGACGCGCTGGAAACCTGTATGGCCTTTTCGAAGCATGCAGCGGATCCTGTGAAGAAGATGTCTCAGCCGGAGAAAAGGATGCAGTCGTTGTATACGAACTCAGTGATACAAAAGTGCGCGAAATGCTCCAGTGAGCATCCGATTTATCTGTGTGAAGATTTTAAGAAGATGTGAAGCGCCCATACTCCGTTGCGCATCCATGTTTCACTCCCGTGTTGATGTGCCCAACGTAGAGCAACAACTCGCGTGGTCTTTCTTTCTCCGTAAAATGAAAGACAGTGCAATTCCATTCCTACTGTATGGAAAAAGCTCTTTGATGAATCAGTTATCCTGAGGTTGGAACTGTGCTCGTCCGCACCTAGCAAACCTCGGATAATAAACTCATCAGAACAACTGCCCCGATTCTTTATTCTTCGAAACCTTTTATACATGAATTTGTTACTTAAACTCTACACAATAGTTTTTCTCCAGTATGTACATATAAAGCGAGACAGATAGTTTTTCTCTTGGAAAGTCGGTGTCTGTTTTTTTTTAACAAGAATTAATGCTCCTCGCGGTAGGAACGGCTATGTAGGATGCTTACTCACCAATGTTTACTTTGACCTTTCGCGAAGCACCTAGTTAAGCCAGCGCGCATCGCTGACGACGCGGTAGCAACTGTTTATAAACAACTGACTCTGGAAATGTGCGACATTGTCACTGCTGCTGTTAAGTTGTGTATTTTTCTACTACCGTATGGGGATCTATTACTGGTTAATTTCTTACTCAGATTGATATTGGATTTTGAGGCCTTTGCAGATGGACCTACAGTGCAAACGTGAACTAGTACAACAGGCAAAGTTGTGCTATAACTGTCTACGTCCTTCGCATTCAGTGAGAGTGTGTACCTCGAAATCGGTGTGTCGCAATGCGGACTGTAAACAACGGCACCATACGCTATTGTGCCCAAAGGGAGATGGATCAGATCAGCATGAAGAATGTTCTACCGAGCCGAAGCAGTCTGTACAAGGAGCGCAAGATTCAGATCCTGTAGTCAACTCACTGGTCACTCAGGTTCCACCAGAACTAATGAAGGAAGCGTTTGTACTACCGACAGCGCTTGTCAATGTGCAAACCATCGACGGTGGATTTTTGAAGGTTCGTGCTTTGATTGACTCGGGTTCTGGAGCATCATTGATCACAGAAGCCTGCGTCAACAAACTCAGTATTCCTCGTACAAGCGGAAAAGTAGCGGTCTCTGGACTAGGGCAGCAGCATGCAGGGACAACTCGTGGAGTCGTAAAGCTTATCATGGCAAATCGGTTCAACGAAACGGTAATTCTACGAACTAGTGCGTTCGTAATGGGTAAGCTGACGTCAACGTTGCCTGCTCAACGCGTCGAGGTGAACACGAAGCTGTTGGAGAAGGAGATTCAGGAAACGCTAGCGGATCCGGCATTCAACCAGCCGGGGCCAATCGATATAATTTTGGGTTCGGATGTCTTTCTTGCTATTCTCCAATCGGGGCAAGTCAAGGACAAATGCGGTACTTCTGTGGCCCAGAACACGATATTTGGGTGGATCGTATCTGGTAATCAAGCTATCTATACGACAGATGTACCTAACAATTTCTCCATCATCAATCTACATGCCGAGGTGGACATCAACCGCACATTGCGACAGTTTTGGGAGCAGGAGGAGGTTCCAAAGCCACAACAGCTTACTCCTTCGGAACAGGCGGCGGCTGAGTTCTTCCAGTCCACACTCTCTCGGGACGATTCGGGACGCTTCATCGTGCGACTTCCTTTCGACGATTCGAAGCCTGCGTTGGGAGAGTCACTCACGGCAGCCATCAAACGGTTGAGATCGATGGAGAAACGTTTCGACCGGAATCCAGAATTCCACAAGCAGTATTCGGATTTTATCGAAGAATACCTCGCTCTAGGCCATATGGAGGAGGTACCGGAAAACGAAGTAAGCGTGAAGGCTAGTGAAAGTTTCTACCTCCCCCACCATGCAGTGATGAAAGCAGAGAGCACGACGACGAAACTTCGGGTAGTTTTTGATGCCTCCAGTGCGTCCGAATCTGGTGTGTCTCTCAACGATCGGCTCTTAGCCGGACCAAACGTGAACCAGGAACTCTTCTCTGTTCATTTGCGTTTTCGGTCAAATGAGGTGGCGTTCGCAGCAGATGCGGAAAAGATGTTCCGTCAAGTATGGATGCATCCACTAGACAGAGATTACTTGCGGATTGTATGGCGTAAGAACTCAAGTGAGCCAATCAAACATTATCGTCTCTGTACTGTCACATACGGGACGAAGTCTGCACCATACCTAGCAATTGAAGCCATGAGACAAGCAGCGAAGGATTACAGCTCGATGTATCAAGGCGCAGCGGAGAGGATTGTTTTGGATATGTACGTCGACGATTTCCTATCAGGTGCGAAGAACATGGATGAAGCAAGGGAGCTAAAGAACCAAGTTATCGAGATCATGAAATCGGCGGGATTCAACCTACGTAAATGGACATCCAATCGTTCAGAACTTCTACGAGATGGGGAAGATGCAGAGCAAGCACCAATAGACGTTAAACTGGCGGAGCATCCAGACGCTGTCAAGGCACTAGGGATACAGTGGCTGCCTAAGGAAGACGTCTTTTCCTTCAAGGTTAGTCTCTCACCAGATAGCGTGAATAGTAAACGTCAGTTACTCTCGGACTCTTCACGGCTGTTCGATCCATTTGGATGGCTGTCTCCAGTGATTGTGAAGGTCAAGATTATGTTTCAACAACTGTGGTTGAGTGATATTTCCTGGGATGATCCACTTCCTCCTGCTATCGAGACAATGTGGATAGATATTAAGGAAAACCTTCACCTCGTCGAACAGATTCGCATTCCACGATTCATCGCGAGCTTCAACGGCAAGGTAGAGTTACATGGGTTTTCGGATGCTTCCGAGATGGCGTACGGTGCTGTGGTGTACAGCAGAGCAAGAGACGAAGAAGGAAACATTTTGGTGAACCTCGTGGCTGCAAAGACAAGAGTGGCGCCGATTAAACAAGTTTCGCTGCCCCGATTGGAGCTTTGCGCAGCAGCCTTACTGGCAGAACTTATGCAGCGAATTACTCAAGCACTCTCCCATCTGGAAGTGGAACATTGGGCGTGGACAGACAATACTATAGTTCTTCAGTGGTTGCCTGCTCATCCTCGCAAGTGGAAAACGTACATAGCCAACCGTACTTCTGCGATCCTGGATTTCTTACCTCGTGATCGCTGGAACCACGTGAGCGATCAAGACAACCCAGCGGATTGTGCATCTCGTGGTTTAACTCCAGGTGAACTTGTATCGTTTGATTTGTGGTTTAACGGACCGCAGTGGTTATGCAAGGATGAAGAATTTTGGAATGCTGAACTCTACGATCCAGTCGACGATGAAAACCTGTTGGAAGTGCGGAAACTCAAGGTACTGCATACCAATCCGAAAGCTACTCGAGACAACTACGACGTCGAGCGGGAATTGATTGAACGGCGATCAAGCTTCAATTTGGTTGTTCGAGCACTTGCGTATGTAAATAGATTTGTGCAAGCTACCAAGGGAATGGAATGTGAACCTACGCTGACACCCGGCGAACTGTATGCGGCAAAGGCGCAGATAGCTAGAACTGCACAATTCTATGTGTACAAGCAGGAAATGGAATTACTCGCAAAGGAAAAGGAGTTGCCGGCCAAGAACAGATTGTCAGCACTACACCCTTTCCTGGACAATACTGGAACGATGCGCGTGGGAGGCCGTCTTCAGAATTCTCCCTACTCATTCGATGTGAAACATCCGATCATTCTCCCACGTGACCATCGAGTAACGGAACTTCTTCTGAGAGAACTTCATCTGCAAAATCTCCATGCGGGGCCCACTCTGCTTACAGCTACAGTAAATCAGCAGTACTGGGTGATCGGACTACAGGCAGCAGTACGACGAACAGTTCAAAGCTGTATTCGATGCGTAAGAATGAAGGGACACACGGCCAATCAGCTCATGGGCAGCCTGCCTGTGCCTCGTGTAATGGCAACCCGCGCATTTACCCACGTTGGCGTTGACTACGCCGGCCCATTCAAGATTCATGCGCTGTGCGTTAGAGGAGTCAAAGTCACAAAAGGTTATTTGGCGGTTTTTGTGTGCATGTCGACTAAGGCTGTACACTTGGAGGTTGCCAGTGATCTCTCAAGCAATGTGTTCATCGCCGCGCTTAAGCGATTCATCGCTAGACGCGGATATCCAAACGAAATCTGGTCCGATAATGGGACAAATTTCGTGGGTACCGACCGTTGGCTGCACGAATTGCAACGTACTCTGGAGAATAACAGTAAGACAGCAGGACATTTCCTCTCTAATCTGGGCATCAAATGGGTTTTCAACCCTCCGTCCTCTCCGCATCGAGGCGGAATATGGGAAGCAGCTGTTAAAAGCGTCAAGAAGCACCTCTTGGCAGTACTTGGTTCGGAAGCACTCACCTACGAAGAACTTGCAACGATTTTGGCTCAAGTCGAAGCATGCCTAAACTCAAGACCCCTCTGTCCACTATCGAGCAATCCTGATAGTTACGAAGCTTTGACACCCGGTCATTTTTTGATTGGTCAACCGTTGAATCTCATTCCGGAACCTGATGTGCAGCATATCCCATCCAACCGCCTGGATAAATGGCAGCTTGTGCAGAAATACTCCGACGAAGTTTGGAAGCGATGGCGGGACGAATATGTGGCTACGCTGCAACCGCGTACTAAATGGCGAGTTACGGAAACGAATGTTAAAGAGGATCAACTGGTGTTGGTGAAAAATGAGAACGCTCCGCCGGCTCAATGGGAGTTGGCACGCATCGTTAAGCTTCATCCAGATGCAGCTGGAATCGTTCGGACTGTTACCTTGCGGCGTGGTCAAGCTGAGTACCAGCGTCCGGTACAGAAGGTCTGTATCTTGACATCGGATTGAGGCACGTGGCCTCAAGGCGGGGGAGGATGTTCCGGTGCGAGAGCCCCCAATTCTAATCGTACACCACATCCGCATCTACCTTGCACCCATCTGTCAGTGCAGAAGCGATTCGCACATGTTTTTTCCTTCCAAAAACATAACATGTAAAACCATCGAACTGTAAACAACAAAAACAGAGAAAATTAAAAAGTTGAATTAGCAAAGTGACATCGTCGGTTTTTTTCCTTGTCTCCGTGTTCCGTCGGAATTCGGTTTTGTACAGTAGATCTCCGATGTCCTCTGATGATAGGCTCGGGAAATAGGCGCGTGGTACTCGAATAACTCCTAGCTCTTTGAACATTCCAGCCCAATCACATCATCGCTCCATAATTGCGCCCTTCACTACATCGTCCCATCCAGTCTTTGTTCGCCAGATATCCTGAATAATTACGCGTCCATGGATCAGGAAGTGTGAGAGAATGCCTAGCGGATCGAATTGGCTCATTACGTAGCGCAAGATGCTGCGTTTCGTAGGACTGACTGCTTCCACCTTAAAATCGCTGGATAAGACGAACACGTCCTCTTCGGCTTTCCACTGCATCCCCAGCACTCGCTCTATTTGGCTGTCGGTCGCTCCGACAATCTTCGCTGGAGATAGATTAACTTCCCCGACCCGTCTGAGAACCGCGGATGAGTTGGACAACCAGTTTCGGATGATGAAACCGCCTTGCTTATGTACCAGTTTGACCTCTTCTACAACTTGACACGCCCCTTCTTCACTGTCAAAGCTCTGCAGATAGTCATCGACGTAGTGGCGACGCTGGATTGCCTCTGCTGCTCTCGGATACCGCTCTGCGTGCTCAGCTGCATTCAGGTTTTTTTACGAACTGCGCCGAGCACGGTGAGCACGTTGATCCAAAAGTTGCTACGTCGATTACAAAGGTTGTCCCAGCTCTCCAAGCCAAAGAAACAGCTGACTATAACAATCTTCTCGACGCATCTTAAGCTGGTGGAACATTTCCTTTATGTCGCCCACAACTGCAACTATTCGTTCCCGAAAGCCGGATAGAACTTCCGGTACTTTCAGTAGCATGCTGTTTAAGGAGACTCCGTCCACTACAGCCGCTGCATCCCATACAATGTGAATCTTGTTTGGTTTCTTCGGGTTTTGTACAATGCCTACCGGAAGGTACCACATCCGGCGTGGATCAGCTGATCTTAGTTCAATCTCTGTCGCTTCGTGAATGTATCCCTTCTCCTAGTATTCCACTATCTATTGCTGTATGTTCCTGAACACTTCCGGACTTGCCTTCAATCGCCGCTCCAAGCACTGCAGCCGTCGGACCGCCATGGCGTAGCTTTCAGAAAACTCGACGTAATCATAGCGCGATAGCAGCACGGTTTCGAAACCGTTTTCGATCCGTTTTTTTTATCCTTTCGAGTAGCGCTCTAGCCCCCTTGTCATCTTCGGATTCGGGGCTCCGGTCCACTGAAACTCTCGTATTTTCAACCGTAAAGTATTGCTTCACTAGCTCGTGCAGCTCACTCTCTGTGTCGCAGCCACAAATGTGAAATTTGTAGCTGGGATAGATCGTTCTTTTCGGTATCGCCCCGATGATTGCCCATCCGAGGCGAGTTTTGGCAGCAATTGGTTCATCCAGTTGACCCTCTCTTATTTGTTGGGTAGCGGTGAGGTGATTGTTCTTCGCGCCAATCTTAGATGACCAGTAGATGACTTTACTTGACCATTCAATGGGTTTTTTGTCAAGGTGGACTTTTAAGTTATCAGGCGGGAACAGCCGATGTGGATTGGAGTGCGGAAATAGTATGGTCTAAGTTTTAGCTGCATTGATACAAATCTTCCATCTTTTGAAATAGTCGGACAGAACATCCAGGCCTGATTGGAGTTTTCTCTTAAGAGCACGGATCACTCGACCCTTATAAACGATGGCAGTGGCATCCACAAACATTGACAAAACACCACCACCCGGAATGGGAGGAACATCTGACGTGAAGATGTTGAAGAGGATAGGACCAATGAGGCTACCCTGAGGAACCCCAGCATCAACGTTGAACGTATCAGAAGGTGAATTGTTTGAGAAAACCTGAAATGATCTGCCCGACAAGTTGTTTTTAATGATATTGATAAGGAAGATCGGGAAGTTGATCGATGCAGCTTGTACACTATCATACCAGGCATTGTTGAACGCCTTGTCAACGTCCAACGGACTTGTTCCGGTTGATGATGTTAGTAACCCGTGCGAGTTGGTGGATGGTAGAGTGGGTTTTCCTAAACCCGAATTGCTCTTGGAGAAAGATGTTATTATCACTTGAAAACACCAGCAGACGACGGCTGAGCATCAACTTTTCGAATAGCTTCGAGATAGCGGACAAGAAGCTGATGGAGCGATAGCTTTTGGCACTGGTAGGATCTTTGCCAGGCTTATGGATTGGACTGACTTTGGCTAACTTCCAGCATGCTGGGAAGTAGCCAAGCACCAAACACTTATTGAAGACCGCTGCGAAGTGCTCGAAGAAGTCAACACTCAAGTTTTTCAACTCGAGGTTGACCACTCCATCGGCACCAGTGGCCTTCATGTTCATGGTTGATTTAATCGCTGCTGTCACTTCATCAACCGATATTCTACTTTCGTCAGGGACAACTACGGGGTTGGCAGCGACTCTAGACATTGCCTCCGATACTGCAGGCTCGTGGCTTGGCCAAGGTTATGTGAATTCACAAAGTGTTGACCAAGAGCATTGGCCTTTTCAACTGGGGTTATGAGTAAGGATGGATCCGAATTCTGGATTGGAGATGAAAAGGAAGGGATAGGCCTCGGCTTATTTTTAAATCTTTGTCATTTTCCAGAGTGGCTTAGCACAATCTGGGAGAGAGCGAGTCTTGTTTGCAAAATCTATGTTTCTGAGATGCACCATCCTGGCTTGGACGATTTTATTCAAATGGTTGCAATTGGTCTTCAGGCCTACGAATCGTGTTGCGGAGTCTAATGAGGTCTTTAGTGGGTCTGTCAAGGTTCAGAGTATTACTCACCTGTCTGGATACTGGAACATGTTGCTCCCTGCCCTGGGAAATCGCCTTATCGATGTAGCGTAGACATCGGTCGTTTCCCGGTGGAGGTCATAGTCGATACTGGTGTCAACGCAGTGTTGGAGCTGCGACCAATCTACCCGATGGTAGTTTCGTCGCGATGCGTGGAACTTGTTGACTGAGGAACCCACTTCTGCCACTACCGGATAGTGGTCCGAGCTGAGTTCTTGGTAGACAACCGGTTGCAAGATGTGGGCCATGTTGCTGATGTAGATGTCGATGGTGGCGTGAGCACCGGACCAACTCAACCGGGTGTGAGTGTCCGGACTCGAGATGTTGTACCACGCTTCCTGCAGATCGTTGTTCAGGATGGTGTCGTTGTGATTGCACCATGATATCTCGTTCAAGGTCCGATGCCGACCCATCCCTGTTGTTGACTTGTCTGAAGCAGTAAGTCGCAATGATCGTGATGGGGCCAAGCGATGTGCCGACTTCATCCCCGATGGCTTCGATAATTTTGAGTTGGAAGTTCGGCAGCAGGTTGACAGTTGATGGTACGCCTCATAGCAACGGCTACTCCCCCTCCTCTTGCACGGGTTCTGTCGAGTCTCAAGAGCTGAAAGTCCGATTGGCAGATGTTCCTGGGCCGCTGCAGCAGTGAGGCGATGTTGAGCTGATTGGCGGCTGGAGGCCACTTGCTTTGTTGGAGAATACCCAGCAGGGGTGCTAAGGGCTCGTTGATTGTTGAGGGGAAGCGGTGCTAGATTCGGGACCAGTCGACGGGGCTGGATTTCAGGGTACTGAGCATCAGTAATGGCCGGGGGCTCACGATTATTGTGGTGGTGACCGGTCAGGTTGCCTGTTACCGCCTATTGGCGAATATTAATGAATTCCGCTCCCTTGGGGCAGTCGCGAGTGGACGCACGGTGGTTTCCACCGCAGTTGGCACACTTTGGCTCGTTGTCATCATCTAGACCACAGGACGCTGACGCATGGGTACCTCCACACTTGTCACAGCGTGGCTTCATATGGAAATTTTTCGTTCCATGGCCATAAGAGAGGCAGTTCATGCACTGCGCTACATCACGGTGTTGAGGTCTGTACAACTGCCAAGAGATGATGTTGTCCAGTGTGGTGGAGCCCTTGATAAAGTGGACCAGGAATAACTGGTCCTAGTAGCTGGTGTTCGGCAAGGGTCGCCGATTCATCGGATACACTGCCTCTGGTTGTTGACCAAGCCGATCCAGCTCCTCAGCCTTCACAATGGCTGCCTCGAATGACGGCAAACCTCGCAAAACTACCTGCAGTAGCTTCAGCGATTGCAAATCATGGGTGTAAAAATCCACCTTGTTGTCCTTTAGGAAACTTCCGATCGCCTTGTACTCCTCTAGGCTGAGCACATAATTTTTGTTCCGACGCTGCAGAGCTTGAACCGAGGCTGTACAGCATTTATGCTCAGCTATTAGGGTGTTCAACATGGATGAACACTGTATGTTGTTTGGAACGAGGGTGACGCGTTTGGCATAGATGGCCTACAGCGACTCACGAAGATGGATCCCGATCAGTAGCGGTGAGGCTTCTTCTTCCTTCTTCGGCGAATGGACGCTCATGTGGGCTGCAGCTCACTGCTTGCGGGCAGTCTTTCGTTGTGTACAGTGTTCAACGCTACGCGCCGAAAGCACTGCTGCTGCTGCTGCTGCTGCTGCTGCTGCTGACGACCGACCGGACACCATCACACACAGGATCGAATTCGATTTTGAAAACTGTGTTAGGGAATGTGCTGTTTGTTGACAATCGGTGATAATTTTAATTATCTTAGCAGCAGTTGGACATTTGTGTAATTTTCAGTAGTGACCTATTGAAAATTTTTTAAAGTGTTCAATTAAGTAGATTGATAGTAAAATTTCTAATCGATTGGCTTGTTTAGAATTAAAATCCATCCGCTATTGACATGTGGTCAAAACCTGACCAG